CTTTGTCATCAAAATATTACTCAAATTATCCTTACTATTATCATCATTGAAATGCTACGGAATTGTAGAAACGTATTGAATGCGTTTCTTTGAGATGTTTCATCATTGCATCTTATTCAAAAGCATTTGATCGCTCAAAGAGATACAACCAAAACATCAGGAATCGTAAGGCGTCTATGTACCAGCTATATATTTCGAATTGTACAAAATTGAATTGAAACAATTTTATCATTTCATTGCATTCAAAACTTTTTCGCTTTTTCAAAATTTCTAACGCCTTTCTTGATAGCTTGATTCCAAAGAATATTCTATTTCTGGAATGTTTCTTTCACAACAACAAATCTGCAACATTCAACGAATCAATGAAAACATTTGATAGTTGATAGTTATGTTCCGTTGTTTATATTTATTATTTATATTCATATTTGATATTTACATTCGAAATTTCCGCCTGCAATTGTTTTATGTAAACACGCTCTCAAGAGCATTTCCAGCTGATTGAGAACAACCCACACATAAATAGTTTCGATCAGATATTTCTTCACTGATCTATAAGAATTCTTTGCATTTAATCTGCTGTACATAAAATAGCCTGTGCAGTCTATACTCTAATGGTTCATTTAAGAAAATATAAAGATTAATGGCATTCCAATCCATAATCTTAATTGTTATTTCCGCATGACTTGGTTAAATGAAAGCATTCCAGTCACTATGATAGATATGCTTGAATATTGAGTGTATCCTCCTCATTATTAGATATAATTCAAATTCAGTGCTTACATATCCAAGAAAATCTCCTCTAAAAATTTTGCTTTGAGAATTAATATCNACGAGCGTAGACAATTAAAAGAGTAAACAAGCTAGCAAACAGCTATTTGATCGTAAATGAATGCAAATATAATACTAATAATAGTGTTGAACAACATCCTTGTCGCTGTTATAAATTGTCATGAATATATCAGCTGTGAATATCTCTGTCCAGCTTCAGACGATTCATTCTTCAGACGACATCCGCTCCATGCGAACATCTCGCATTAATATTGTCTACCAGTTTATTGGTTACTCTCATCATCTATCAATCAGTCATCTGAATAACTCCAGGTGGCGAAACATGAATTCATTCAGAATTCGCATATTCCCCCTCATGATATGCCATCATCGAATGATGATTCTAGTATTCGTTGTTCCTCATGGAATTCATGTTTATTCTAGAATTTGAGTCTTATGCAGGACAATTGTCTAAATCTTATTTGTAGCAGTGCAGAACAACGGAAGAGCTATATGAGACTCGAATAGGCAAGCAAGACGAAATGTATATGAGTGTGGATCGTGCTTAATGGTGTAATTGGTTTGCATAATTCATGTTTTAGAGCATCCGATTAGCTAACATAGATCCAACGTGAGCTGTTGTTATGATGTGACAGCATTTGATTGGAGTGATACATTTACGTAATGTTTAAATGGTTTTAACGACAATGTGTTGACATACGTGCGATTTGTTGCAGCTTAACTATGTCTTCGATTACGTCTCCGTCTGATTTGATAATAATTTGACAGATTGTTCGTGTATGTGCAGAGAATTAATCATCATTCACTCATCCTCAAGTGATTTGTAGAGAAGATGACAAAGAATCAGAAGCAAGCAACTGGCGGTTATACTATCAAGCCTACACATAATAAAAATGATTTTATCAAGAGCGGTATCAATGAGAACAATAATCTTAACACTAAGAATATCAGTTACGGAATACCACTTGAACCCGAGCCTCGATTCGTTAAAGCTGACGGCCTGAACTGGTTAACGACAGCCCTGTTTCTTGTGGCCGATATGGCTGGAGGAGGTGTTGTTGCGATGCCGATTGCAATGCTTCAATCAGGTTGGCAATTTGTGAAGCTTTTTGACGTCCGGATTTCTGCTTATAGACTCCAGAGACAGTGGAGTTCAAGTGAGGTCAATGAGAGTGAGATTAGAACGGGAATGTGAAAATTCGAAAAAATTTGTGCTCTTTCCAGTTTGATTTCTTAATTTTTTGAATTTTGATCCGCGCTCAAACGTTTGATCTGTGAATGATCACTTTTTTCTTAGAATGTCTATGAGTTGTTGCAGAACATTGTCTATAGCTTATATAAAAATTACAGAATTTCGTCTGTAGGTATTTCCGAATGTCTACAAAGAATTTCACGATTCGTTCAGAATGACGGTGAATTACTTTCAGAATAAGTTCCCTCGGAATACTTTCTACTTCCCAATTGCCAGTTTTTGTATGTATAATATAAGCTAGAATGAGTGTTCCAGTTCCATTTATTTGAGCATTCATGAAGAATACAGTAAAACAGAATGAGGAAAACAACCGGATAAGAAATTATGTGACGCAAAGAAGGGAAGCTTTGAATTCCTAAGACA